GTCATCGACACTTTAGAGTGGAAACAAATCTTTTTAATTTATACTGTGCTAACGCCTTCAATTGGCTATTTTTGCCCGCCTACCAAGGACGTGTCTGGTTACTAGAATATGCAATAGATCTTGATGGCCAATTTTTGACTCCGGCAGCTGGGATAACTGTTTTTTTTATTATCATTATTATTTTTTTTTTCTTATTTTTTTTTTACAATTTAAATGCTTGGTTACTCTAGCAAGGAAAAGCTTGCTCCTTGCGAAAAGGCCTATAGGAACGTTGATTCTCATATTACTGAAATAAATTTGTATTCTCAACCTTTTATGTGAAGTATGACAATGATACGAGTAGTTTAAAATACTCCTTTTTATTGCATGTAGAATCATAAATATAACCATAGGTACGTAGATCTCCCATAACTTTAACATTGAATTCATAGTTTAAAAATAAATAAACGGAAAATCTGTTAACTTGAAAATAGTTGTTTTTATATACATTTGTACACATCTCACTATCAATGCGTTGTACAGCGCATGCGTTCGAAAATTTTATATTGTCAATATTAAAATACTATGTTTGGTACTCGTAAAAATTTAATTGGTTAATTGACTATTTTTTATACCAATCTAAATTCAACGCTGCCTGGCCTCGCGAGTCGGAGATATTTACCTTGTACTTTGACGCATTTATTTTAGTATAAATCAATACCACTAACCTCCAATGCATTCGTGTGTTACATAACCATGTCAGTTAAGAAAGACAGTTTAAGGTGTTTGCACCAAGCGGGTTTCTCAACAAGCTTGAACAGCTTTGAAACACAGGTCAAAATCATAAAGTATTCGAACATTTATTCCTGTTCTTGAAAACTCGACAAGCTATGTCAACCACGTAACCTGGGTCTTTTTCCTGCGGTGGGAAACAGGGCGGGAACTAAGTCAATAAACGTTTTAACAACGAGTATTAATATATGGTATTCGGTTTCATATATGTAACAGATGTTAAAGACTTATGCTTGTCTTCCCAGTTATAAGTTTACGAAGAACGACCTGTCTTATTTAAAAACTCGACAGTTAATCCGTATACTCTGTTTGTTCTCAATTTTTTCAGCCAATTATTAAATTAGTTCTAATTCATACAGCCCTTCATATAACAAGTGATGATGTGTCATAAGTGAAGTGTATCTAGAAGAGTATTAATGGTTTGTGTCCTGAACGAGTCCCAGTTGGCTTGATCTTGCATTTTCTGTTCCAGTGTAGCTTGGCTTGGATATGGAGGAATCTGCATGCGACCAGAAATTAAAAAAACAACTGGTAAGTCTAAATAGATATCAATACGCTAGATTCAGAGTTTTTTACATTTTAAATGGCCATTTCCGAGTTTACCGTGTGCCTCTGCTCCTCGTGCAAAACCTTTTCTAATATAGATAGGACCCTGCGCGCGCTCTGATTGGTCAAAAACCCATGTTTTTTTGTCAAAAGGTAGAAAAAGCCTGTTTTATTGTTTTTCACCACATAACATCTAGTCAACATTTTTGTTAGAGATGGCGAAAAACATTTTCTTTCAAGAAATTTTTGATAGAGCTCTCTGCGAAGCAGCAGAAAGTTTATTACTGTGGTGTAGTGTTGACACATGCG